CTAAGACCCACCTCTTTCTGTGTTCCCGATTTACAAAGAACACTTCACCAAGTGTGATTAAAACCTTACAATACAAATGTTTGGACTCTGCAGCCCAGTCTCTTTTGCTTCAGAGAGTTACAACTCTTAACTCACTATGGAATTTAGCCACCATATCTGACGTCCATACCTCAAGTGTTCTGTGGTGTGTGGAACACTTCATGTTTTGTCCAGAACATGCATAAAGGTCCCATATTCTGTAAGAAGAATGAGGAAACAAGCTTTTTTCCTAGATTGGTATTGATTTTTTAACCTTATGACCACTATATGAGAAACTTTGCTTGTCATTCTTACTGCTTTAGTGATTTTTTTTTTTTCTATCAAGTCCACAATCACATCATGGGATTCTACTTGCTGGAGTTTGATATTCCTTTAGGGAATAATCAGATCTAGGCTATACCAAACCTAACGTTTCAGTCCTCTGACTGATTTCAAACACCTTGTCATTTCTAATGGCTATGAGCTTCTTCAGTTGGTCTGTTAAAGCACATTCTCAGACTTACGTAAATAAAACCAAAAAGCTGAATCTAGTCCACCTGTTTATCTGTTGCTATCACATCACCTTATTGTTTGTTTAGGGTTTTGACTTGTTTCACTCTGAACTCCCAACCAAACTTCTGGATTTGAAGGAAGGAAACAAGCAAAATACACTGATTTGACTATAAACCGCTACAGTTCTGTGATTGGTATTGCAAAAACAGTTCATTTGTAACACGAGTTTCTGTAGCATTTTTTACTTGTATTTTTTAAAGATTTAATGTGTGTCATTTGTCTTCTTATGCATTCCCTTAATGTCTTGAGGGACTCAATTACTGTATATTGGAGTTTCTAACATTTTACCTGTTAGAATTCAATCCGTTTTGTTTGCTTTCCTGGACAATAATGCAGTTTTGGAAAGAAATATTGCTGTGTAAAGAATATATTCAGTTACTGCTCTAAACATGATGCCATTGATCATTTTTATTTTGTATTTGTAACTTTCAAAATTAAAAGCGTGACTTGAATTGCAATGACAGATCGATTATTGAAATTGTCTATCAAGGTGTTTTTGTTTCTCCTAGAGTACAAACATTTTTCAGCCACTCAGAACAGTTGTAGAATGCAAAACAACAGCCTTCAATGTTTGAATTACTTCTAGATTTGTGCCTCAGACATGGCCCTCCCGTGGAAAAAAGGCACTTTGTTTGCACCTACTATATTTTAACTAAGGTTGCATGGGGTAGATCTTCCAGCATACTGATTGTATTTGAGTCTTAGCTCTAATTTGTAGTGTGTCGGTTGCTTAGTATAATATTCAGTCCGGTAATTCATCTGTTATGAAGCAAATTGCCCCATTCCATGCCTCGAAGAACCAGAACAGCATTTTACCTTCGGGTAGCAGAAAAGTAAGTGGCTGGTTTACCTGTTACCTCTTTGTGCTGGGATGGCCTGACCAGACTGTCATTAATGCAGAATTCATGGAAACAAAGTCAAAAGCAAAAATCTTATCTTATTAGCCTCAAATTTGTCATAACTGACTTCAACTCATGTATGCTGGGTAAAAGTGCCTTACAATGTAAAAATTGTATTTATATGTTCCCAAGTAGCATCACCTGCTGGGGAGTAATTCTGTCGTGGTGTTAATATTTAGAAGAAATGTACCTCAGCAGTGTATTTACTGTACATCTCTTACGTCCTTAATTGTAGTTTTAAAAAGCATGATAATGTATGATAGTATACAACATTTACATCGTTTTTTAAAGACAAAATACTGCCATTACTGTCTTTTTATGTGTATTTTAGCTTGGAATTTCAGACAGTCTGAATTTTTTTTTTTAATTATTATTTTTTTGGTAAAGCAGTGTAATCTTTGCAAGCGTATATTGAAGATTATTCTGGAGCATCTACTGCCTTCCCAGAAATGTTAGAAGTAATGAAAGTGCTCTATAGGTGAAATAGGTATGTTTAAATTAGCTAGTTAAATTAATGCAGTCTATTTGTTACTGAGATTATTTTTTTTAATAGGCACCTTCTGCTTTCATCTCACAGTCTGAGAACTCAAGAATTTAACAAATTTGTCCTATGAAACTGGGTTTACTTTATTTAATTATTTTTTTTGGCCTTTGGGCACTTCTTTTGCTCACAAGAGTAGTGTGTGCTGTTTAACATGCCTGGAACCCTCTGAGAAGGGAGGTTTCTCCCCAACTCACTGTATCTCTATTAACAGATCTCCCCAACTCACTGTATCTCTATATTAACAGATCTGCGATTGTGCTATACCGAGAAGGGACTGTACCAAGGAAGGACAGGCATCAGAAGGATATTGTTCAAATAACTTGAGGACACAGCTGGTGTAATGCCAGAGCCTCAAGGCGCGATCGAACCCTGCAGCAGTAAGCTGTGCTGTCACTCCATTTCAGGGAAGGGCAACAGGCCGGTTCGATGTCAGCATCAGTGCAGGTAGCTAGCATGAAATAGATGAGGTGATGAAAAGATCCTCTCGTTCAGCAGGTGCTGATCCACAGGAGGTTCTGTGGTAAGGCTCTAGTAGGAATTACACCTACACTCCACGAAGTCTGATCTTCAGGTACAAAGAGCTGTGCTGATCTCGAATGGTCTGATCATAACGAATCTGGCCCTAAAATGTGATATAAAGGAAGAGAGCTTGCCTCTTGCTGCTGCCTGTATGAAAAATAACTTCATGCTAAACCAGAGTGAAAGATGAAGAGGTGATAATCTGTTTGAAATATCAGACTTACCTGGCAGGTTATAATCAGTGTGTTCCAAAAATATTAATATGCTGAATCAGATTGACAGGAAAATTAATCCTCATTAGATGAAATTAATCTTAAGAGAACTGAAAGTACATTATAGCGAATAGTAACACTTCTTCCATGTCACCAGTAACAGATTCCACTGTATTAGCAATGGAGGGTAAAAAACCAGAACACAGCTCTTGATTTATGTGCTTGTTGACGCAGTTTCTATATATGCATATGTATGCACATTCATTAGTCAGCAGTGACATCTCAGCCCTTAAAGAATCCTGGAGAACTGTTGCTTGTCAAAAAGCACTCAGGTTAGGCTAACATTTGCAGCTTTTGCTCTAGCATACATTGACATTAGGTGTAAAGACAAGGAATGTATGAAAGAGGGTAACTGCATTCCTATCTACAATGTTATGTATATTTTGTTCCTGTTATATTGGCTTTACTTCCAAAGTTGTAGTTTGCAGTATTAGTTTCTTTTTATTGGTATCCTTGCATATATATATTCAATAAATGAGTTATGAATTTCATATTTGCATATCTGTCCTTTTTCTGAAAGCGTAACTTTTAGAACTCATTTTTATGCATAAATGCAGTATTTCTTAATGAGGTGTTTACAGGCCCCTGAAAATTTATATCAGGAGAGAAGTGAGAGTGCAAGTTTACAGTATGCCACTGACTCGGTGGTAAGTCTGCATATTCATGTATTTTTCTTAACTTTGTGCAATGGTTCAGATGCTTTGCATTCGCTGCTAGTTAGTAATGGGAAGTGACTGACCCACTGAAGGTTCCCACTCTCACCTTTCAAGAGCTTACTCTTTTTTTTCCCTTTTTCAAGAGTAAATTAATTTAGACTAAGATACCAAGGGAATGCGGACTGTAATGTAGTTAGACTGCAGAAATGCAGCAACATCTAGGATGCGCTTCAGAGCTGTATAAATGTAGTGTAAAAGATTAGCAAAACAAAAAGATCACTTCTCAAATGCTGGATTTGGCCAAATATGTAACTGCCTGGAGTAAGAGAGCAAAACCTGTCAGTGTTTTTAAAGTATCAAGAAATATGATGGGAAAACTCTGTAGGAGGAGGAGTACTATTGGTCTCTTGATCAAGACTTTTTTTTCTAAAAGCAACTACATGCTCTTATGTCATGACTTTAAACAAGGAGTCGATATACTGAGTGTAGGAGGCGTTTACTGTGACCTGAGAAAAATTATATTCCCAGGCAGCACAGACACGTTGTCACGCATCATTTTCAAATAGGAGTGGCCAAATGATCAGCTCTTATTGATGAAGTGTCGTTACTGATAGTGTGAGCCCACATCATCTTTGCAAAGGTTTCCTGAAGAGGTTAACTGTTACCAAAGTTGATGTTGGGAGTAGTTTCACCACGTGGCTTTTGATGCTATGGGAGTAATTACTGGATGCATGTTTATTTGCTGTATGTTTTTTGTGTTTTAATTGTCAGCTGGGATCTTCAAAGGAAGTGCAGGGTATTGTTGAGGAGCTTTCTCTGTTTCGTGGATGTGATTTCTCACTGGAGTAGCTGGGCACTGGAACCTTGGAACAGTGGAGGGACCTGCAGACACAGGAGCAAAAACACTTTCATTGTCCTTGTGTTGTGTGACGTTTGGTTGGAGCAGTGACTACTTCAAGGGCTCTCATGACCTCACTTGGTATCCCCTCTGGTAAATCGCTTTCAAGTGTTAGAGACAAAGGGGAGGTGCTGTAAACTCCAAAAGCTCAGCTTGTCTCTCTGCTTCCACCCTTGTGTTCAGAACTCAGGGTGGGAGCAGTTTAAACGGGAAAATTAGTGGAAAAGGGAAACTATTGGTGAGCTTCTGAAAGAAAAAAAGATGAAATTGCATGAGGCAAGGTAACAAGCCTGTTGAACAGAGAAGCAGTTGGCACAGTTCCCTGTTACGTGACTCTAATGACTTTCTGTGAGAAAGGACGGGAATGGAGTCTGACACCAATTTAAAAGTGAAGTTATAAAAACCCGTTTGGAAAACTCTACCCAGAGTAATCAGAAATCAGTCACAGTCAGACTGCAAGGATGTATTGAGTGGGATTCTCTGCAGTTCTGTTCTGATTCGATGTTACTTGATATGTTCATTAACAATTCCGATGGCATATGCTGATTAAATTGTAGAGGGCACCAGACTTGAGCTAGCTACTGACCGAG